TTGATAAAAAAAACATTATCCTAAATTTCTTCGATCTCCATCTCTCTCTTATATTCTTATATATATATATATATATATATATATATATAATCATAATTTAAAAAATTTATTTTCCCTGAAAAATCTAACATATTGTTTCAAAAAAGAAATCTTTACAAAATTATGAAATTTTGTAATTAAAAATTTTATTCTAATTGGGTTTAAAATAACGTGATTAATGTTCTTCTAGCAATGATTTTTCATTTTTATACATTTGATTCATCTATTCATACTTTTGATTCATTTATTCATACCATCCTTAATTTTTTATGACGATTGCAATGTAAAATGAGTGTTGTATGATATAAATGATGGAATAAGTTAATTTAGATTAAAATTTTTGAATGAAAGATCAATTGAATAAATAATTAGATTAAAACTTAGAATGAAAAATGAGTTGGATAGAATAATTTATTAAAAAAGGAGATATAATAGAACATTACATAAAAGTTACATTTAAACATTTTTATTGACCTGACAATAAAGAATATTACAATGTGATAACATATTACTATAAGCAGATGATAAGTAATAATAGTTTATGACCATTAATTATCTATGATCTCGTAATAACTTCTGCATAATATTTATTTAAATCTTTCAACTTTGAAAATAATAATATTTACATTAAATTATATATCAAGCAGATGATAAGTAATAGTTTATGACCATTAATTATCCATGATCTCGTAACTTCTGCATAGTATTTACTTAAAATTTTCAACTTTTGAAAATAATAATAATTACATTAAATTACATATAATACAAAAATTAATTAAAGGTGATGTGATTCAGGACTTCTCGTGGCTGCCAAAGAACTCAGGAGCAAACTTCGGGCACTCCCTTCAAGGATGCTGCAACTACGTTGTTCTCCACTGCACATTAATACTCTCACTTCGTTTTATATTTATTAATTTATTTTACCTCTTAATTATAATTTAAGATATATTATTTTTTAAAGTATTCATATTTATTTTTTAATTTTTTATGATTAATTTTTTTAATAATTTTATCCCTTTTATATTAATATAATAAAAGTTTTTAATTTTTTAAGAATAAAAATAAAGTGTTTTATCGAAAAACATAAATGATGGTGAAGATACAAAAGAAATACAAAATGTACAATAATTTTAGTAAAATAAATTTAACATACAGAAAAATTAAATTAATATTTTTATTATGTTAAAAAATATTTAAAAAAATTAAAAACTTTAAAGTATAAAGATTAAAAAATTTATTTTAAATTATAAAGATAATCGATAAATATAAATATAAGAAATAAGGTAAAGTAAATATAAACTAAACAAAATATTTTAAACTTTTGCTATTTACTCTCTGTTCTGGATTAATTTTTTTTTGTTATTAAACATAAACAGATATCAACGGATTACCACATGCTTAAATAACATCGCTTACAGTAGTGGAAAACTGTGTTCTATAGAAAAAAGAAAAAAGAAAAAAGAAAACTTGGAATCAGCAGCACCACACAGATTCGGTCCACTTCCAAAGAACTAACCATGTAAGTTTGACAAATCTTGTCGTGTCATCTTCTCACGTCATCATCATGTTCTTAATTCCTATATTTGGTCTTTCTTATTTGTAGGATGGAAACGAGGTTCGTCGGGTATGAGTTTTATGATATTTGTTTTCGTTCTCGCGATTTAAACTCATCTTTCTGTATCAGTACTCGTACCTAGATATGTAATTTTCGTCTACATTCTCGTTGGGTATCGGGAATACCTGTACCCGTGCTTGTACCTGTAAAAAGTTATTATTATTATTTTTACAAAAAAAATACATAATATTTTTAAATTATTATTTTTATTATATTATAATTATAATTATAATATTTTTCTATCTCATATTTTAATTAAGAGATTTCTTAATATTTAAACAACTATAAATGTTTCATTATAATAAATAATTACACATAATAAAATAAATTTTTTTTAACATAATTCAATCGTGGACAGGAACGGGTACGCGTATGAGGCGAGTATGTATATATCCGTACCCGTACCTAGTTTAACATATCGACTTTTACTCGTACTCGCACCCGGTCATACTAGATATTTACCATCAAAATCAAGACGGGTTCAAGTATTATCCACGAGTACGAGTTTATTTGTCATCCCTACTTATTTGATTTGAAAAAGTTTAGAAAAGTTGGTCTCACCAAGAACACATCTCAAGGTTCAATAATAAGCTGTTATAGATGTATTCAAAGAATACTAACTAATGAATCAAGTCTTCATATCTAGAAGAATCGAAGTCACAATTTTTTAAGGTACTTTTCGGTTCTTAACCAATTGGACAAGCTTTTATGTCTTAAATTTGACTTTTGATGCAAAGCAAGATCCTTTCCCTTTGTATTCTTCCCATTTTTTATCGTGTTAGATACGGAGATTGAATAACTTAATTCCCAATCAGCATTCTCCCCATTGGCCATTTTTCAACGTGTACTGCGTGCATTGATGGTCACATGTGGACATCTCTTTTCTGATCTGTAAAAGACTATAGAAGTTTACTAACAAGAAAGAAAATAACTCACTTTCTTGTGGACACATGACTCATGAGTCCTTTTCACTGTAGTGCCCCCAAATAAAGAGCACTGTCATGTGCCTGTCGATGAGTAGCAAAGGTAATTAATTATTTAGTTAAATATCTTTTTATTCTTTTCAATTTAGAGTAAATTTCTTTTTACCTCTTAAATTTAAAATTATTATTTATAATTTATGTAATTTTTAAAATTCTTGTTTTAGTTTACAGATGATTAATAATATATATAAAAGTGACATTAAAATAATTATATATTATGTACTAAGTTTATTGTAATGTTTTCATAATTAGTAGTATTTTTTTATGTATCTCAGATAGGAAAGAAAACAAACCAAGAGGATTAAGAGCAAACGTGGGTTACGCCCATCATATCAGCTAACAAATAGGAAAGATCTAAGAGCAATTTCAATGGAAATTCTTTGGCCCATGAAGTAACTCAAGCCTCAGTTTCTTATCATTGGAGGATTCTGACATGGCAACATGAGTTGCCTGAAGAAGAGAGAGAGTTGTTTCCTCAAACAACTGTTCCTTAATCCTTACCAGATTTTAAACAGATCTTATTGAACATATTTGGGAACGTTTCGGAAATAATAAATAATAATGATGAAAATTAATTTCGTATAATGTTTATGTATTTACTTTTGTTTTATTTTATTTTTAATATCTACTTATTGTGTATTTTTCTCGTATTTTTTTTTTATTGTAGTTGTTGGGGCTACTCGAAAACCAGGGAAATCGAAAGATATACTTATGAAGTTAATTGAAAGATGGAGGAGGATGAACACCTGTCTGGAACGTATTAGGAGTTTTATATATTCATGTTAGAAATATAGTCGAAAAACTTTGAAGCATATATAAAACTTCTCGAAAAATTGAGATTAACCCCTGTCAATAATAGTTGATTTGAGATCGAAGATAATTATTTCGAGTTGAACAATGCTCGAGACTTGGTGAAGTTGTGTGAGTACTGCTGACCATACAAAGACAGTTAGCGTCAAAGTCGAGAAGTTAGTATACGCGAAGAACGGTTATGAGAAGTTACACTTTAGAAGCCACCTAATGAGCATAGTGGGTAGCGGTTATCTCATAGTGGCCTACATGCACTAACATTTGAGTGAGTTAACCGTCATTGATTCACTCTATAAAATCAAGAAGTCTGCATTGTCACAGGGTCGGAAAACTCATACTTGAACCAAATTCTGAAGCATTCTCTGCCTGCACACATGGCTTCCATGCGAGGAATCATTTTTGGGTATGACCACTTCTCAGCCACTTTTCTTTCGCTTTTAGGAGTAGGATTAGCCTAGTTCTTTTAGTTATTTCTGTTAATCACGTAGTTATAGCACTTTGATATGGTAATTCTAGAACAGTATGCAAGTTGAACCATGATTTGTATTGGAAATATATGTATTGTTCATTCTGTTCGTATCATTATTTGCGTGCATGGACGTTACTTACTGGTAATCATTGAAGAATATTTGGAAACAAGTAATTATTAAAATCATCCGCTCCGTCTTTGTTCTTAGTAAAGTTATAAACACACTGACATACCTAAATTGAAACCGTTATAGTGCTAGTTCGAATAAAAAGGATCCATAAAACGAATTTCCACCGTAAACAGTAGTACAATTATCCTTTTTAATAAAAATTTAAATTTGGTTCATAAATAATTAGAAAAAAAAATTTAAAAGTTGAATTTTTTAAAGTTTTTTATCATTAGAATAAATTTGTGTTTGAGTTGCTTAATACTGACATAGCACACTAAGAATCATTTTTTTTATTTTTCAATGTATGAAGCAACTCAAATGAGTTGCTTCCATTTGAGATGTCTAGGAACGCTCATTCCAAGCTAACAAGTTATCTTCATGAATTGCTCCATATTTAACCGGTCAGTCAGCACATGAATTCCCTTAATGTAAAGTGTCACAAAATCACAATTAGTAGTATAAGAATTAGGATTTAATTTTTTTAAATTTGAAGAACTCAAAATAAATCTATCTTAAATTAAATATATTTAATTCTTAATTATTTTATCGAATCCATGACATGTGGCATCGATCGATACCTTATACAAACGAAGACTCGGTGTATGTTTGTAAATCATGTTTATCGTCTTAAATGCGGGAATTTGATTGAATCCCAATATGTGGATCTTATTTATATTTCGTGTGAGACTTGACCTTGTGTTGTTCACGTTCCTTTTTCATTCTTAAACCAAAGACAAGTCCAAGAGTTTTTCCTTTGGTTTGGTGCAAGTTTGTTTACATTTTGTGCTTCGAAACAAAGTGGCCTGATACCTTTTCTGACTATCTTGTTTGTGGTTAAATGATGCATGTAAAGTGATATAGCGACACAAGTGGTGGGGTTCTCTCACAAACATGGGAGAGGGTAATGTTAAACAGTCTTTGTTGGAGAGGAAGTACTATGAGGACTGCCCTGGTTGCAAAGTGGATCAAGCCAAAGAGTTGAGTGAGGGACAAGGTGTATCCGTTAGAAATCTTTTGATCATATGGATGGTGGTGCTTTGTGCTGGTACGCGTTTAACTCCATTTTGAGTATTTTCACTTTTGGAAAAGTTGCTTGTTCCAGTTCTACCGTTTTGGGACTTTTGGGGTGTTTGTGTGACTGCCATGTTTATTAAGGCTACTGTTCTAACTAAATGCTTATTGAGTGTTTGGTTGAGCAGTCACCAAACTGATTTTGAATGAATCTGATTTTTGTTAAAATTGATTGTGAAGTGAAGTACTTGCTAGTTTAATTATGTCAGAACTTTTTATTATAAAAGATTAAACGTTACCAGTAAAATGAAATATATATATTTTTTATTCAAAAACAAAAGCTACCTTATGTTGTTTCAAGTAAATATCAATTCTTTAGCATGAGACTAAACATATGAATATATTATATCTAAAATCACATTAGTTGTTATTTCAATTATATCAACATTATTTTTGATGATCTAATATGAATTGTACTTAGGTTCCTTAACTTGTGGTGTCAGGGTCCTTTCTCATGAGAATCATCTGATGTTTTTGCCTGCTCTTAGGTGCTTTTGCATCAGACGAACAAAGTTGGCCTACAGGAGTTGCTAAAGTAGCTCAAAGTTCAGGGAGTTTGGCATAAAAATTGGATCCAAACTTCAGAACTGAAACTGAATATAAAACTGAGATGTTACCTAAACAGTTAACCTTTTCAGCTAAAACAGCAATACTAGTCTTTTTTAAGTTGTATGCTTCCTAACCTCGGTTCATCCCCTTTCTTTTCTTGGAGAAAATAAGAAAAAGGGCCACCCCTTAGTGGTGACTGGTGACTGATTGAATTGATGTGATTATTTAAGCTTTCTCTTGAATGTCCGAAATTGTGTACCGTAGCTCAAAAAGCAGTGATGAGTAGTGTGGGAGAATTAAAATTAAATGCTAAAATGTTTTATGGAATTTTCAATTTTAATATTTTGAAAGGAAAATCAGTGTTTGATTCCATGTTTTACCAGTTGGCATTTTTATGTCTTTCTCAATCAGTTGAAACTACTTTGCCAGTTTGTTTTTTTTGATGTCCCTTTATTTTATCCTGTGCAGCACTGCCTATATCATCTCTCTTTCCATTCCTCTATTTTATGGTGAGTTTAACTATCTATTGGGGTTTACTATTGTTGCCTTTTCACTTGATCTATACTATGATTTTGTGTCATTGTTGGAAGTTGTCTGAACACAATTCTTGGAAATTTTATTCACTGTTTAATCATCATTTTTTATTATATATAATATATATAATTGGCTCCATAGTCCATAGTCCATAATGTTGGTTTACTGTACTTGGATAAACTCATACTTTAGATCTTTATTCCAGTCACAAAAGGAATTTTAAATGGTTGAAAAAGAAAGTCCTTTCGCTGTAGCAGGTTCCCACTATAACCAAGTCAAATTAGTTTTATGTTTCTTGGAATGTCCATGGCCATGGATTACATACAGAACGAAGAGATGTATTTGAGATATTTTGAATGGGAGATTTTTAATTTAGAAAGAAATTGCTATTAATGGAAAGTATATCTTATTGCCAACATCAATTTATTCTTCAGTATACAATTAGTTTTCCTAAATAATAATAATAATTTTGCCGTGGGACTGATAATTGCAACCTGTTATATGTGTCAAAGTCAAATTTTAACTGCTTGTTGCTCTCCCTTCTGCTTTGTCCTTCGTTATGAAATACTCAAGAAATCAAATCTTTGATTAATGTTTAACTTTGTGCTGATGCACTTAATATACATCATCAATAATGCGAGATTTATTTTCAGGTAAGGGATTTTCATATTGCAAAAACAGAAGCTGATATAAGTTCTTATGCTGGTTATGTAGGTAATATTGCTTCTAGTATTTCCATTGTTTGAAGTCTTTAATAGTTCATGTAAATTCTTTATTAGCAATACCTGTATGATGAAAAAATGTTGTAGGTTCTGCATTCATGCTTGGCAGATGTTTGACATCTGTATTGTGGGGAATTGTAGCTGACCGCTTTGGTCGAAAGCCTGTTATAGTTATAGGTATTATCACAGTGTAAGTTTATCTGTCAATGAATTGAACTCGTTCTTTAAATTATGCTATGCAGCTTCCCATAATTATCAATTCTTACTTGATTTCAGTGTCATTTTCAACACACTATTTGGCCTCAGTACTAGTTTTTGGATGGCTGTTATCATGAGATTTCTTCTAGGAAGTTTAAATGGTTTGCTTGGACCAGTGAAGGTATCATATTTTTCACTCCTAATTGTTAGGACATTCATGTTTAATCCCCCAGTACCAGGACACAAATTTTGGATGTGTGTGCACTTGGATATATAACTTGTTCAAACCCATTCAAACTTCGATTTGTACATCTATTTGCCTAACAGGCCTATGCCACTGAACTTTTTCGAGAAGAACACCAAGCTCTAGGACTGTCAACTGTAAGCATCACCAACTCTTTTATACTATTAGTTCTTAGAACTACATTTGTGCAATAATAATTGAAAGTATGATTTTCTTTTAGGTCAGTGCAGCTTGGGGCATAGGTTTAATCATCGGCCCAGCATTGGGAGGCTATTTGGCTCAAGTAATATCAATATTCTTTGCTATCTGAAGTATAAGATGAATCTTGCAGAAACCTTTGAATTTTGTTTTCTCATAAGATGATTTTTTTTTTTTTTAAATTGAAAGACGCCTGGCTGTTAAAAAGGTTAATGCCAGAAATTCTGTATTTAATTGAGGATTAAAATCTTTTGAAAAAATCCATCTGCCTTACAAAAAAAATTGTCTTTTGCATGTTTTTCACATTTGCATGTTTTTCACATTTTGCATTGTTAAGTACATTGGGATAATATACATGAAGTCATAGGTTTTAACCTCATTGCAATCATTGTACACAAGAAAAAAGTACATAAGTTTCTTTGAGAGAGTGCATGCATGCGGGGGCCGGGGTTTGTGGCCAACATTTATGTGCACATTTGTCACTTGTTTCTTTAATACTTTGTGAATTTTTCATTGTATAGCCAGTAGAGAAGTACCCACATATATTTCCAAAGGATTCGTTTTGGGATAAGTAAGTGGACTTCTCCTGCTTTTGATTTTATAAAATTTAAGGATTCAATTTTCCACTTGTCTTTGTCTTTCTATCGTTATTCCTTTAATGATGTGCTGATTTTCCTTTTCCAAAACAAATCATTCTGCAGGTTTCCATACTTCTTGCCCAACTTTATAATATCTGCAATTGCATTTGTAGTAGCTATTGGCTGTATCTGGATTCCGGTATCTATCTTACATTCTTACATATCTGTTTGTTGACTAAAGTTGTTTTTATCTTCTTTACATTGTGGATTTTACTTTTAACATTTTTATGATGACATTTTATAATGTAGAACCATTTTTATATGATTTTTTTCAGCTCAACTCTGCTTTGTTTTCACTGTGTCTATTGTCTGGTGTGTCTCCCACCACATAAATACAATTGTTTAAAATACATGCAGGAAACACTTCACAATCACAATTGTAGCAATGCATCCATAGATGATGCCAAAGCTTTAGAAAATGGAAGCAGAGGGGCTGGCACAGTTAAGATAATCCAAAAGAATGAAAACCTCCTCCTGAACTGGCCCTTAATGTCATCTATCATTGTTTATTGTGTTTTTGCACTTCATGATATTGCTTATCAAGAGGTATGATTCCTAGTTAGGCTAAAAATGGACTATGCACCTCTTTTAATAAATTGAATTTTCCTTCATTTATCCATGCATTTTTAAGTGAACAACATTCATTCATCATGCTTTCTTTAGGTTTTCTCATTATGGGCTGTGAGTCCTCAAAGGCTGGGGGGTTTGAACTTTACAACTGATGATGTTGGTAATGTTCTTTCAATATCAGGTGCATCTCTAGAACCAACAATAGATGCTTATTAACGTTGGGCATACATGTTTCCTTCCTAACTTTCCCTCCCTAAAGATTGCTCATAAATTTTATGCATTTACACGAGGCCATATGGTAGCTTCCTGCGAGGGTTTTTCTCAAGTCTTGGTGATCAATGAATTTTACAGACTTGGGTTTCCAAACTTTGGTGGAATGTTTGGACAAGTCGGGGTCATGGCCATAATTTTGAGAATGAGTTTCTTGACCTAGGATCATATTCTGAATGTGGCTTTGTAACTTAACATATGTATATTTTGATATCAAATGCTGTAGACATCTGGAATATAATCTTAATCATATTTTCTAGTTATCACACTCCAAGATGCAATTACTTTGACAAAAATGTTCTTTTATCTTCATAAAAAAGGAAGCATGAATAATAGGAAAGTTTGCATTATAATCAGTTTGGAACAATATTGAATAATACATACCATTGGAACTATATTGAAGTTATTCCTTTAGTTCTATACGTTTATCAAGATTGCTTGTACTTTGGGTTTGATAGTGACAAAGATGTAGAAAAAATTTACATTTAATGTTGATCTCTGTATTCCTATTGTATAATAGATATTTTGTACAATTACTGACTTCTTAAATGTTAAGGTCTTGCACTTATCATTTACCAACTTACCATATACCCATCTGTGGAAAAAGCTAGTGGACCCATTGGTATTGGTCGCATCTCAGGGGTTAGTTCTAGCCTAATTGTGGCAATTATTGCATTTCAGCATTTCTTTTATTGTTATTTGAAATATGTTCTGTTACTTTGGTCCATATGCAGATGCTAGCAATACCACTTTTGCAAAGTTACCCCTTCATAGCTTTGTTGTCAGGCTTTGCACTGTACGTAGTCTTAAGTATTGCATCAATTTTGAAGAATATTCTATCAGTAAGTGCATCTTTTTATTTATTTAGCCATATATTAGTGTTTTTGAGGGTTTAAAATTGAATTGGATTCAATAAACCTCATGATATCAGTTTAATTGATTCAGAAAAGTTCTTTATGCTACAAAATTTGACTGGTTGTACTCTTTTTTATCGGATTTAGGTGACCATTAATACTGGTTTGTTCCTTCTACAAAACCGAGCAGTGGTAATTTTTTTGGATAATTCCATTGTCTTTTGTTCCTATAAATAGTTAAGACTAGTTATTGATGATGACATGTTGATTTGGAAAACAGGAACAACACCAAAGGGGGGCAGCTAATGGCATTTCTATGACAGGCATGTCTCTATTCAAAGCTATTGGCCCTGCTACAGGTGGTGCAATGTGAGTGTTCCTATAATTTCTTCAGCTTCTGTTCAAACTTACCTGTCAGTTCAAAAATGTCAATGTAGACATCTAAAAGGGATAAATATTTCATACGATAATTGCTATAACACTTGCATATTAATGTACAGGTATTTTCATTTACGATCTATAATAGGATAGATTAATCAAATTCATTTGTGCCTGAAACTTCATGCTAAGAATGTCTGACTACATATATGATAGTTAAAAATTATCTCCAATTTTCTTATATGACCATGGTCAATGCAGATTAACTTGGTCACAAAAGCGGATGGATGCTTCATTCCTCCCAGGTATGATGCTCAAGTAATTTGTTTGTGCTGGTTCTGACGTTTAATATATGGCAGATGGGAACCTTTTCTCTAATTTTAGTCTATAGTTGTGAAAAAGATGGAAGCAGAGTTATTTTCTGTTATTGATTCAATGAGATAGTACCTCAAATATATAATGTCATACGATAAAGTTAAAAACATAGCAAAAATTGTTGGAACTTGAGATTTTTCCACTGTTATAATTAAATATTTTAAAATCTCTACAATTTTCTGTTTTGCTTGTAAGTTTGGTTAAAGATTGCTTATGTTCAGAAAAACTAAGTTGTGCATGCAAGTAATGTTTACTTGTTAGCTTAGTCATATTTTGTTGTCTGCTTTATCCAGTCAAGCGTTAGTCAGATTTAGTATTTAAGCACTTGTTGTAAATACTTTTAACGTGTGCAAAACTGAGTTCATAAGTCAAATATATTAGATTAGTTTTTGCCCCTTTTGTATGTGTGATGTTACAGATTTTCTAATCTATACCTCTATTTTTGTTTAGTCATACACATTTATTTTTCATGTTCTGTTTTCAACAAAAACAATCCTAATAAAAAGGAATAAAAAAACTGCCTAATTACTTTTTAAATAAATCCCCTGATTTAATGATTTCATGTTGACTTTCCTTATATATTTACAACTAATCATTACATATTTACTATTCAATATTCCCTCTTACAAGTACTGTTCAATACTCCCTCTCAAGATGAGAATAGATGTCATCAATTCCCAGCTTGATGATATATAAGATGACAAAAACATGATATGTTCAGCCCCTTTGTAAGAATATAAGCTAATTGTTGTTGTGATGAAACATAGAACACATACACTAGGCCTTCCTCCGACTTTTCTTTAATGAAATTTTTATCAATTTCATTATTCTTGGTCTTATCATGCTTCATTGTTGATTGTTGAGTTCTTATCATAGCTTCATTGTACCCTTCAATCTGATTCTTAAATATTTAGAATAATTTTCAGCCGTAGTATTTCGCATAGTCCTTGAACAATTGCTCTAAATTCAGATTTTGTTGATGACCTGGCTACTAGGATATGTTTTTTGCTCCCCATGTTTACTAAATTCCCCCTAAGAAAGGTACATATTAACCAGAAGTTGATCTTCTATCTACCAAGGATCCTACTTGGTCAGCATCCGCTTCTAAGGCTAGGGTACTATTCCTCTTGAAGAAAATTCCTTTTAAAGCATTTATATAGATTGCAGGTTAGATTCTCTACAAATTCTGCATAAATTGGCTGATCACACACTCATAGAGTATGCTATACCTAGCCTTGTGTGAGCAAGTTTTATAAGTTTCCCCACCAAACTTTGATACATTTGGTTGTCAACAACTGATTTTTTTTGGGCTTCTCTCGATTTAGTATTTGGGTCAACAAGGGTTGTGACTAGTTTGCATCCAAGCTTCCTAGTTTCTGCTGGTAAATCGTTTACATATTTTTGTTGGATATAAAGATCCCTTGGTTTGAATAAGCGACTTGGCCCACTTTAAAAACGAGTCAACCCAACCCGGCCCACTTTTAATTTTTTTAAAAAAAATTTGGCCCGGCCCGGCCCACCACGGGTTGGTGGGCTATACGGGCCAGCCCACCAGCCCACCAAAAAGTAAAAAAAAAATTATCAACAAAATTTAAAATTTAAAATTAATTATAAATTAACATAATAGTCATAAAATTAGCATCATTGATAGTCATAAGTCATGATTCATCATACAAAATTAAATACAAATCATGATAAAAGTCTAAAATAAAATTTTTTTAATATCCCATCATACAAAATTAACTACAAATCATGCTTAAATTTTTGTTGCAAAAAAAAAATGGTGGGTTGGTGGGCTACCCGGCCCACCACGGGTTTAGCCCGGGTGGGCCTGGTCAAAGTGGGCTGGGTTGAGATATACCCACCTACTATAAAATTTCAAATTTTTTTGGCCCGGCCCGATCCGTTTTCAAGGTGGGCCGGGTTGACCCACGGGTCCCGGCCCACTTTGAGGCTCTACTAAATAGGTTAACTTGATGGGCTAATTTGTCCTACCTCACTTTTAACCCATTGAAGTGGGTTAGGCGTGTAGGGTTATTGGATTGAACTACCTAACTCACCTCTATTTTTGGCAGGACCAAGCAAATTGACCCGACAGGTTCAACTTTTTTTGTTACCCCTACTTCAAATCACCTTTTTCTTTTTCATTATTTCATGTTATAATGATGTTGTCAACATAAACTAGGAGTGTAGTTACTCCCTTTGCAATTGTGCATTTAATAAAAAGGTTGTAATCACCTTGACTTTGCTTATACACAAACAATTTCATAGCTTTTTTGAATCTCCTAGACCATGCTCTAGGGGACTATTTTAGTCCGCAAAGAGCCTAGGGTATTCACCTTGCAACCTTTGTCACCTTCAAATTTAGGTGGAATATTCATATAGATTTTCTCAATTAAATCACCATGAAGGAATGCATTAGACACATCATATTAGAGTATTCATCTCTATGTTTAGGGTAAAAGTTTCTTAGTAATTGTTACAATATAAGGTCAAACCGACCTAATCCTAGTCAAAATATCCTTTTCCATTATTCGCCTATCATTTTCATACTTTAATCGGCTAATAGGCTAGCCAACATATAAACCTAGGGTTTGACCGAGACATCGTTTGAGATCATTATGAAACTGATCAATTCATGGTTTCCATGTCATGGGCAATCTCATCGTGCTTTATGTCGGGAATATCCTAACAAACTCTTACATGACCTAACTAACTCTTCATTTCTTTGTCACTATCTAGTTTCTAGATAAACAATATCATACTCAGGTATTTTTACACTCGAAGTTTACCTTGTTACTCTACTAAATCACATGGTGACTTGAGCATTGGAGTGTTTGCAGGTGGTCACTATTGTTGAGCCTACTTGCTTAGTGTAGATTCATTGGAACCTTGCTTCACTAGTCTATTTCATGGTCATTGCTCGAACATTGACATCATATGTGGGAACCTATTATTCCCTTTTTTGTACAAAAGGTGAACACGTGAAGCGAAAAACTACTAGAGAACATTCATATGTCTCTCTCTACACCACCTTTTGTGGAGAGAATGTAAACTTTTGTTACTCTAGAGGGGAACTCCTCCAATCTACATGTATTACCTATATAGGTGTTGTGGTTGGAATACCTCGCCATCATCAATTTGGTGGTGAATTGTTGATCCTTTGGCGAGTGTACAAATATCAACTTGTAATTAGTAGTGAGTATGAGTCATCTCCACATGAACTTGATAGATATTTTGATCAAATTTCACACACAAGCTAATTAAGTAAGAAATTACTATCCATAGTTCTATTAACATAAGACATATTTCATTTTGTAATTTGGAATTCAAACTAATGATAAAATGCAACAAGTAGTAAAATCATATTTAATTCAAACTTCACCAATCAAGATTCAATGTACTCATAATTCTAAAACACATGCTTAACTCATATTTATTCCATCAATGCAATTGAAAATAATATCTAAACATTTCTTCCTTGATATTTAGTTCAACACCTTCATAGATCATTAATCCCTTGCATGATTAATGAAGAAAACTTGCATTAAGTGGGACAATTTAGGCATCTAATGAATTAAATTCCTAGCAATTTTATTCATTAGATGATTCAATTCAATTCTTGATTCAAGAACCATTTTCAAATCAATCCAAGATCATAAATCATGTCACAAACAATCAAGATGAGACAAACATAAGAATAGAAGAGAATCACTGATGAAAGTAAATAGAAACTAAACATATGTATATAGATCAAAAGAAATACTTGAAGTTAATTGATTAAATTTGATCCTAACAAAAAGGAAAGTTAGCGACTCATATTAAGGAGTGCCAACTCAAGATTACAAAATATTACATCACTTGCTTTAGCTTCCACTCTTCAAGATCAAGAACAAGATCAAGAACAACAGGTGTGAGTTCCCTCCTTGCACCAAGCCTAAATTCTAGAGAGAGATAGAGTCTGAGAGTAAAGAGTGTGAGAGATTATCCTCAAATATGAATCTTTTTTCCTTTTATAAAAAGAAAAAATGTCTTTTCCTATGCTAAAATTGGCCAGCCAAATAAATTTTCCTAATGAATTTGAGGTTTTTTTTTCTTCTTGAGGTAAGAAATTTGTCCAACCAAATTAATTTCACTAGGAAAATTTATGGTTTTTTCATCCTAAAGTAATAATTTCACCGAGCCACATGAATTTCACCTAGCCACATTATGCTCTAGTTGAAATTTGGAGCTTGTTGCCCCAATTTGGTTGGACCATAGAAATTTGGCCTGGCCAATTTTTCATCTTTTTGTTTATTCTTATTTTGGTTTCAAAATGTGATCTTGTTGCATTCCTCTCCCGAGTCTTGTTTTCTCCACTTGATTTAGTTTGCACCTTGTACAAAAATATAATTGGGATAAATTAGCTAAATAGTTACAAATATAAAAAATAATTTATTATTTATATTACTTACAAAAGTTAACTAATTTTGAGGTTTAAACAAAGAAAAAAGCTTGGAAAAACTAGATGTCTTCTTTTAAATAACCAATTCAAGTAAATTTGACATCTAACATGAATTCATCCACATTGCCCCCTCTAGAGATGTCCCTTGCTAAATTTGTTGCACTCCTTCAACAACAACGAGAAACTATGGATCAACATAGGTGTCTAATTGTAGAGTTGCAAGCAGAGCAAGAGAGGCTCTGCTCCTCCTTTTGTGACCCTTTTTACCCCACATATCATAATATTTGAAATAAATAAAACTGAATCAAGAAGTTTATCATAATGAAAATTCACTATGTTCAACATAGAAAGTATCTCATTTTAACAAAATAAAATCAACTAATATCCAAAGAAAATATAATACATTAAATTAACCATTATCTAAAAACATAACTAAAATCAACACAAATTCTAAGTAAGTCCCGATGTCACATTCTATCGAAACATAAACCCAACTATAAGAATTAGGCCTCACCAGCAACATCCTTAATCTCATGATGTAAATCACTTGCAAGAACATTCAATAAAGACATACACAAAACAAGGGAATTGAGAAAAATCTCACTTTGACTCACGGTGTAAAATATAATTGGATAGCCAAACATAAGCAAAAAGACAAAGATATAAATCTATTGATACAGATATATTGATACAACAAAATAAAATTTGACTGATAATACATAAATCATATAACAAATACAAGTCATGATCATATAAATTCACTTGTATACATATACATATGATGTAATGGACACAGATTTCAAAGTGCATATACATATAACACCAATCAAATCAACTATCAACTATTGCTTGAAGGCTCAACTATTGCCTGAAGACTCAATTGTTATGCATATGATGCATGTTACCCAAGAATCAATGCCTTATCATATTACAACAATTCACACAATTGTGCATCAATTCTCTTTTCAATTCATAATCACATTGCAACTAAACCTTGCTTAGACTTCTCATGACATGAGCCTCACAAAATCCATACACATCAACTATATCAATACTAGAGCATATCAATCAATTTCTATATAGCTCAAAATTGTGTTAACAACATACTCACATACCACAACTAGTTATCAACATTACTTTGAAGAATGATTACACGTGTTCATAGTTCAAACAAAACAATTGCACAACATCATTTGATACAGCTTAAGATAGAATCATTATGAAATTGTCTAATCATATGTTAAGACATTAACCATAGTCACTAAGAAATTAACATCACTAAGCATTTAAATCAATAACTTAACTAGTCCTGCAACCTCATGAATATCACACATTAAGTCCTTAGACATCATTATCACCAAAATACCTTAAATCATTAACAATTAACTTACATCATAAATTATTTATACTTGTTTTCTCCTATGATTTATATTTCCTAAATATTGATATAGTTACCTCAAACCATTTGTAAGATCAAACACTTAAAGGGTAAAACAATTCCTCATTACCATTCACAAACTACATTTTCACAACTTAATTTTCTAAGACCTCATATAGTCCAAAAACCATATCTAGAGCTATACATATATTATCAAGTTGATATTAATTTTATTAGAAATTTAAGACCATTATCTACAACTTCTATGTTGATCTCAAGAGCTAATTATGCCATACACGCAAAATTGCTATGTTTCAACCTAAATTTGTTAGCTTGACATTCGTTCAGTAATTTGATCATAACTTGAGTTTTAGACATCTTTTTTTGTTTATTCTAACGACATTTGAAAGCTAAAATCTAGAACTACAATTCTTATGAAGGTCAAAAACCTAATTCTTAGAATACCGCACTCGACGTGGTGATTATTGCGCTCAGTGTGAAGATGACCACAACCTCTCTATCACACTTGTGCCTTGCGTGACTAAGGTCACGCTGGATGCCAAAACTTGTAGGGACAATATCAATGGCATCCGATGCAGGCCATTTGACTTTTGGCACAATATCAGTTCATAGGAGACTTATGGACTGTGCGAAAGTTGTACAATAAGAATCAAAAAATCAAAAATTTCAATTCAATCAGTAAAAATCACGATTAAAGCTTAATACTACCATATTATATCATCAATTACTCAAATTCAACCTCAATTTCACATTCTAATTAATTACATGTCCCTATTAACTACTCACACAATAACCATTTAGGATTCCCATAAGAACTTACAAGCAATCCAAACTTCACAATTATGGGTTCAATCACGAAATTGGAGACATATACAACTATGTAACATAAAAAAAAATAAGAAGAAATCATATAAAAGACCAAAAAAGATTAATGTAATTAATTGTGAAAACCCCCTTCATAGAATACAAGCAATAGAGAAGAGGTTGAAGGCCAATTTCACAACCCAACATACATCTCACACCCAAAGCGAGACTACTCACTCCTGCTTACCTCGATGAGCACTAGAAGATGGACGTGGATCTCCAAAATGTTCTCCTACAAGCTCTGGTTTTCCCAAGCCTTCATAGCGTAAACACGTGATAAGAAAGACTGAAAAACATAAAATATAACTATTCAAAAACCTCTCTTTTTAAAATTCACCTCTCTTTTAACCCAACAGCTAAACATTTTAACCCTAATTACAAAACTCTTTTGTCACTTAATAAAATAAATAAATCAATTATTAAAATAAGCTCAATTAATTAGAACAAAATACAATAATAGTAATTAATAATATATGTATATATATAATATTAAATTGGCACAAAGCACATTTCTCTAATAAATATTATATAAAATAATTTTTACAAATATTTATATAATTATTTAAAGTTTAATTTTTTTTATAAAGTCTTTTTAATTAATTAAAATAATTGTAAGAAAATAACCTTAATATAAATATAAAAATAAATAATAATTAAACAATTATTTTAGTAGAAAATTCGGGATGCTTCACTTTCATACAAACTCCACCATGTCATGGCCTCTCTAATATTTTTGTCTCTTAGTATGTATCTCCTTTCCGTCCTAGCTCCACCACATTCACATCATGACTAGCATCTTCAGTTGCTCGCTCTCTTTCATGAAGTCTTCCCCAATCAACATGATAATGAGAAAAATCTCATTTACTTAGCCCTTTTCCTAATAAGTTGTTCATCAGTTTCTAGGTGCCAAAACAACTCCAATAGCTTCCTGCAATGGAGTTATACGACGAATCTTTCGACCCAAATGATCATCTAGCTGCATTCGAGTCAACTCTATCTTATAAAGGATCGAGCCACGAGACCATGGAGCTTTCAAGCTTTTCCTCTTTTGCTCAAGCACATATTGTTGTCAAGTAGTTCCAGTCTCTAGAATCAAAGTCGGTTGACACAGGCCATCTTAATTATAAGAGAAATTTTGCGTTGTTTTTTGTCACAACCAAGGCAAGGCCAACCTCAAAAGGATTTAACAAGGGGCGAATTAGCCTTTGAGAGAGTATATAACACATTACAACCAAGAAGCCAAGATCTTCCTTCTTGTCCTTTCTCCCTTGGCCTTTATATTTTGAGGCTTAAGCATAATATCCTACTTTATTGTGCACGAAGCATAGATATTGCTTCTTCTAAGGAAGATGTGCCTATATTAGGAATTTGAATCCGAACTTAGTCAAATTTAGGCTTCAGTCTAGTCATAAAATCATATACACAATCTTTTGCAATGAACTTCTTTTTTAGAGTGTTTGCATTGTCTAATTTTGTGTCATTTTTGTCTTGACTAGAAGACAAGAGATGAGAAAGAAGTCCTCTTCCCTTGAGATAGGTCTCGAGAAATTAGGATAATTTTAAATAGTTCTTTCCATTCAAGCGATGCAGAGCTCAAATACTTTGTAATTATCCAATTATTTTAACTGAGTTGGACTCGTCATTGTGGTTTCTAATTTTACTTTCAACATGGTGATAAGGGGAAACACCCAAAATTTTATAAAACCAATACAAGAAGGTTGTGGATTTGCTTTTTGCTAAGATGGAACCATGCAACAATTAAGGTTGTCTTTAGAGTAGATCAACAATTAAACAAGGTTCCTTAATGGAAGGACATGGGTACAATGATTAAGGTCACCCTAGGACACGAAAGAGAAAAAGTTCCAACAGTTGTGCAAGTGAAAGATGAAATTAAAACTATTTTTTGATATTGATTAAATGAGATTGTATCTCAAATACATATAATGTGATACAATAAAGTAAAAGGAAACAAAATCAATCAAAAAATGATAAATAAAAATGAAAAAAAAAAAGTTCCTAATTACTTTCTAAATAAATTCCCTCATTTAAGGGATTTCAGGTTGACTCTCCTAATAATATATTTAGAGGTAATAATCACATTTATTGTTCAATAATAGTTTTTCTTTTAACATTTCAACAACAGTGTATGGTCTGTTAGCCTTCATTCATTAGAAGTAACTTTTAATTTGTGTGCACATAAGTTTAGATATATTGCATATATTTCTATTAATCTAATACAATCAAAGGACAAAGAGAAAACCAAATGTAGAACTGAATCACATGTGAATTCTTGATCTAACCTCGTGTTTGAGTAGTTTGTGCTGGTAAAATAAACTATTGTCTAACTAGATTATGATGACAATATTTATCAAGAGCATTATTGATTCCTTTGATAGTTGTATTACTAGGATCATACTTACTATTGTACATTAAATTGCAGGCACTCATATGGTCTTCTTTGTCCTGAATATAGTTGAAGGACTTGGACTACTAATGATGTTCAAACCATTCCTTGTTGAAAAAAAGAAAACCCACACAAATCAGTTACACTAATACCAATCTTTTTTGTTCAAGACACATGTAACATATCCCTAAACTGTTGTTTGCTATTGCAGACAGTGATAGTAACTAGGTGCATCAAGTTTGTCATCATGGGGACCAATGATGATTAAAGTCAAATTGGTGGCCCCAGTTCTCTTTGTAACGTGTTATATTACTTTATTGGGTGACTATCTATTTTAACACGTTAACGTAGGGAAGCAAAAGCTTAAAGGGAATTATTCATTATTAGGTTTTTCAAATGAAACTACATTGTCATTCTTTATGCTACTGATTCCAACCATACGAGACCAAGTTTTTCTAGAGCATTAATTGATGGACCGTTTTACTTTTTCAAGAACCATTGATGTGAAAGTATATGGATGAGCTTGATCTTAATTCATTATAACCAGTGTGATATATTATTTTTAAAATTTTGAAATTGTTATTTCAATTTATGCATTTTACATATTATTTAAGAGCTATAAAACATAAAATTTAGAATAATGATTACAAATAACCGAATTTAAATTTCAAAAATAAAATTTATATTTTTCTACTCTAAATATGTATTTGTTAATATGTATTGTTATATTTTATGAAAATTTATACTTAAATATTATATTTAGACTTTTACATGCACTTTAAAAAATAAAAAAATATAAAATGATGTTTTATTTTAAAATTTAAGTTAAATATTTAATTTAATTAATCTATGTTTTTATTTAATATTTGTAAGTTTCAAAAACCAAAAACTGTTATGGCTTTCTTTTACTTTGACCAAGTCTCCAATTTTCTAATTGGTTAGCAATATCCAAGTGCACAACTTACACTTTTTTTGCTATTACCGAAAAGCATGCAAAAGAGTGGTGTACATCATTTGTCTTGCATAAAAAGTCTTTAATATTGTGCTTATATATATAGACATTGGTACGCGAAAATAAAAAGATAGAAAGATACACAACAAGTTTATTTATCTCTCTCTCAAAATTATTTTTACTATTAAAATATATTCTTTGGAGCGGTGTTCTTTGCTTTAGGGATATTTCGCTGCACTCGAATGGTAACGTGTTGACGTATCTTGGGAGAGGATCGCACTATAAGACTCAAAATTACTAGTGCAGTAGGGACGTTTTTTCTATAAGGATAGCGCTCTGCGTACTTTAATCCAAGCTACTCTAAACTTATTATTTAATATTTTAATTTACTCTTTGTATTTAATTAGTTATTACTGATTTTTTTGTTTTAAATTTTATGGTATTCATTGTATTGCTGATATTGGTTTTATTGATAAATCTAAATATTTTTTTTCTTGTCTTCTATTAAACTTATCTTGTAACAAAAAAAAAAAAAAAATA